TGAGCAAGTACATAACCAGCCAGTGTTCAAAACTATCGCCTTACTTTAGCTTGTTTCACAACGGTTCGCTTATAATAATGTTTTCTAATTTGAGCGGTACGGGTAGGTTTTCACGGGAAATTCGAGTATGCCCGCTGCGTCATTACATCACTTCTGTAAACATAAAGAAGTTGTCCCGGCTACTAGGCTATCGCATGTGAGGATCCTGCAGGTGGCTTACAGATAGCCTGGGATTACACAAGATTTGTATTTTAAAGACAACCAGTTCGAAGGGAGCATAATTTGCTTTTTGGGTTAAAATAATTTCTTAATATGAAATTCGAATGGTATGACAATTAGAGATTAGACTGTACAGCAATTGAAATCTACACGCTAATACACACTATACACATAGGCACGCAATGCTGATGTTGTTAACATTAACAATTTGAGAATAAAGTATAACAATAATAATAATTATTGCAATTAATATGAGCTCATTTAGATTAAATCACCATTGGTAACGCGATTTATTGTAATGCTTTTTTCCTCAGTTGGTCAGAACAAACGTGGCAGACTTGTTACTTACTTGTTCAGATGACAATATCCGGTGAAAATTCTTATTTGGGTCATATATTCCAAGACGTAGGCTAGAATCTGTTATGGCGAAATACAGTAAATATCCACACATACTCTTCAAAACATCAGATTCATCCGCGCTGGAGCCGTGCCGACTCACAACCCACGCACAGAAGATAAATCCACAAACAGCTGCAATTGCAGGCTTCAAACAGAGATGGCGACAAAGAGGCAAAACATATGGACTGCAGCTTTAATATTTATTTTACTACATTAGACAAAATACAGTAACGTCTATTATAGTGAAATTGCTGTTGCTACAATGTACCATGGAAAATAAGGATGATTTTACGGTTGACTGACAGATCAAAGGAGTAGCCTGGGAAAGCCCATGATCTACACATCTGCTCAGCAGCTTGTGAAAACAGATAGACCTTGAATGGCGTGAACCATATCTTCAAAAAATCTAATTGCAGATTTTAATCCCTCTGTCCCATAAACACAAGATATCACGAGGTGTTATTAGTACTTTAAGAAGCCAAAACAGAACAAGAAACAGGACTGGGGTGTTGGTTGACTTTCCTGAATACAAAAAGCTTTGAGAAAGGCAGCCCTCACTGGAGTGACTTGGCAAGAGAAAGTGATGCTCGTGTTGGATCAAAGCACTACTCAAAGGGAATTTCATGATCTTTGCAAGTAATCCAAGAGCTTTAGAAAAATAGGGCATAACTGCATTTTGTCTGATCTGCTTTATTCTGCAAGGAAAACTGTAAGAGCATGCAATGTTTCAGACAATTGATTGTTGTTTTGGGCATGGAGGATGCAAATTAATTATGTACATTACATCAGAAACATGATCTGCCTTTTTGGGAGATTTAAAAAAAAATTCAGTTGAGAGCAGATTATGAAGTCGAAATCCAACATCTACTGAGCAATTTAAACTCTATAGGAAGTCATCAATGGATAGTGCACACATACACACATAAAAGCTGACAGACATTCAATATACACCCAGTGGCCATTTTAAAAGGCATAAGGCTTGCTTGTAAATGCAAACATATAAATAGAAAACCATTTGCTAAATTTGCAATATGTAGATCTTTCATAGATGTTCAGTAGTTGTTGTTTTAGTCAGTTAGACAATGACATTTACAATATTGGTATACAGAGAAACACATCTGAATGCCATGTTTCTAGAACAAAAATATGTCGCTAAAGTGGGCAAATGATGTACCAAAGTGGGCTGTTCACAATCAAATGTACCTGATAAAATTGCCACTCAATGTATATTGCTGAGAAATAACTGTGAAGTCTTATCACACATTTTTGGTGCACAGATCATAAACATTCACAGAGAGCCACGTCTCATTTCTGCAGTCCCTTTATAGCTGCATTTACAGAACTCACTCACATACATAATGCATGATGTTAAAAGTCCTTTGGTTAAGGAAGTATCTGCCAAAATGTAAATTTTTGTATTTCTGAATAATTTACTTAATGCTGTAAAACAAAGATTCCAACCTAATATATGAAAAGCCCAGTTTGAGGCGTCTGTGGTGTCGTGCAGAGATATTCAGCCAGGCTCCATATTACTGAAGTGCAAAACTCACAATTCCCAGAACTCATCTCTCCATCCTTCTCTGAATCTTCTCTTAGATTCCCTGGCTACCAGGTCCTTCTTTCTCTTCACACTTGGACTCCTCAAATTTCTGACACTTTGCATTTTCACACATGACTGACCATAGAACAAACATTAGAGCAGGCAGCCAAGCGAGTCCATAAGGATACATGCTACGATTTGCTTGCATTGGCCACGTACAGCATAAGCCAAGACTCGCCTGTACGTGACTCGTTCAAATTGCCAGCAAGTTTACAGAAAGTCCTACAGCTGAACTGAACATTCGGATATGAACCAATAAAAACTGGAATGAGGAAAATGAACAGAATGAAGGAAAACACCTCGACACTCATGAATATTTTCTTCTGCAAGATTTTAAACTTCTAATACATGGTAGTACTGGAATCTGGGTCATTTCTTGACAAATATTGCTAGGTTTCTCTAAACTTAGAAAATTACATAAACAAAACTTTGGTACTCTCTGACCTAATACACTAAGGTATGCCGAACACATTTGTCAATATTCCATGTCTGACAGGATATGGAATGTCAGACTGAAATCGCGGGGCGTTTTTAATGAGCCATATCAGCCTCCATAGGTGCTGGAAACGAGGCATAAAATGACTTGAAAATGATCCTATAGGTTGCATGGAATGTAGGAACGGTGCTCCAATAATAATTCTTCCTTAATTAATACAGCTGACAGGTTGTTTATCGGAAAGGCAGGAGAGCGTAAGACTGGTTTTTCATGCAATCAAACACACGCAGACACACAGCTAAGCCAGTGATGCCTAACACTCTTTGGAATACATAACATAAATCGGTCCATTCCCTCTCCTAATGCACTGCTGAATTTAAAAGAGGCGTCTGTGGAATGTGGAATGAGGAGGGGCCATGATATACTCCAACATTTTCCTTTGAAGAAATCTTTACCCAGTTGCTTATCACTGTGCTAAATGTGAGCATGCCAGAGGGCACAAAGCAAACACAAACAATCAGCAAGCCTTTGAAATAAAACTCATTACTGTGAGCGATTGTTTAACTGACATTAGTAATTATAATGGAAAGTTGATTAGATTATTTAAAGTGATTATTTGAAGAATTAGTTAAATGCCTTTAAGAAAGCATAATGATTTCTAGCAGTGGCTATAAATTGTTTTGTATAAATTGTTCCCAAGAAATAATATGATATGCTTTTTTAATTTGCATGAAGACAATCATGTGTATCAGATACTGACATTTAGCCATAATGCTTTTTATATTAGTTTTTTGCAACATTTAAACACCAGTCTTATGATCAGTTACAGAATTAAAGACAAGTACAGTAACCCCAAAAGTATATGGACACTTAAGTCACAAATAAAAATGTAAATATCACTGAATTATAGACAACAACATTTACTTTCAAGCAAGATAGGGTGCTCTCTCTCTCTCTCTCTCTCTCTCTCTCTCTCTCTCATGCACACACACACACACACACACACACACACACACACACACATAGAGTTTCCATGTTTTATTGGGACTCTTCATAGACGTAATGATTAATACTGTATAAACTGTATTTTCTATACTCTTACCCTAACCCTACCCCTCACACAAAACGTTCTGCTATTTTAGATTTTCAAAAAGACTATTCTGTATGATTTATAATGTTGTTTTTTATGGGGACCAAAAAATGTCCCCACAAGGTCAAAATTTACTGGTATTATTATCCTTGTGGGGACATTTGGCCCCCAAAACATAGGGAATATGAGGTACACTGAATAAGTGTTCAGAATTTAGTCAAAAGTATTCTAGTTGCTCTGCAAGGACACTTTAAGACCACTTGGTCAAAAGTAATAGCAAAAATGTGTCGGTTTTGATTAAAAATCCAGCATCGGTTGTTAGCAGACGCCAATTGCAATGCAATTTTGAGACTTTTGAAGTCACTGTAACTGTATACACTGTTGTTCATCAAGGCTGCATTTATTGAAATACTATCTCAATAAAAACTATTTTTTAACATATTATAAAATGTAATTTATATGCAAAGCATCATTAATCCAGTCTTCAGTGTAACATGATCCTTCAGAAACCATTCTAATATACTGATTTGGTGCTCAGGAAACTTATTATCATTCTCTATCATTATTCTTATTATCATCAATGTTGAACAGTTAAGCAGTGTTGCTTAATGTTTTTGTGGAAACCACAATGCATTTTTTCTTTGATGAATAGAAAGTTAAAAAGAACAGGATTTATTTTTTTGTTAATTTTTGTAACAATGTTGAAGTTTTTACTGTAATTTATTATCAATTTAAAGCATGTATGCTGAATAGTATTTATTCACTATTATTTACTTTTTACCTGCCCCCCAGTTTATCTGACCACCCAAAGATGAATCTAAAGACATGTCACACAGAACTGTAACCACAACAGCAAAACATGTAGGAAGCTGTCAGTTTTCAAGCGATTACACCAGAGTGCTTTTCCTGTGATGATGTGAAGGCTGAGCACGCCAATTATCCACAACACTGCATGACAGTAAGGAGCTCTCTGATGTCTGGCCAGATTTATCTGATTGGATAATCAGCTGGTACTCAGTACAGAACATGTGTACTCAGCAATGGGACACATTAAGAATAAGATGAAGGCACAGTTACTTTTATAGAACTGAGCAAACCCTTACATCCTTACTCTTACCCTTAAAAAACTGCAAATTCTACAAATTAAACCACAACTTTCCTATTGACTTTGTAGGAATGCATTAGCCATAGCATCAAAAAACAAATATTGCTTGTCTCAAACAATGAAGACACAAACTTTGAAACCTTATTGAGCACTTTAATAAACAGTTTTTAAAAATCAAGTAGTAGTTAGAGCAGGAAATTTGGTGGTTTGTGGTTTAAACAAGTTTATCTGTACCTTACCTTCACATATCCTCAAGAATATCAAAACATAATACTGCAACCGATCAAGGAAAGCCATTGGTACATGATTGTCTGACTGCTTGTTTTGACATTTCATAATGCTTGTGAAATATGACTAACTTCACTCTCACAGTGTGGCATAATGACCAGACTGTCTACATGCATGCTAACCTCTAAAGAACTGATTTCAGAGCAATTTTTGTCAGATTACTGTCATTAAACACACAATGTTTAGAAAGCATTTTCAAATCTTCTTGTTACAAGACTTGTTAGGCACAGTTTGGTTAAAACAGCATTTAACAAATATGATAGAAAGCCTTTTTTCTTTGTCTGGATCAGACTGAATTTACAACAGGGAATAAAAATCTTGACATTGTCAAAATGGACTGAAATTATGGCTTCTTACAGAACAAATCTCTTAAGACATGAGGAAAGTTCCTTCAAAATGAAAAATAAATAACCCACATTACTCAACCAATTATCCTCATCTATTAAGTATGCTCTCTTAGTTGCCATGTGATTGTTGAGCAACTGTTTCGCAAATTAAAAGATCAGTGTGACCAACAGTAGAAGAACTTTTATTGCCTCTTGAGGACAGCAGAGAATGAGGCTCAGTGGTTTTAGAGTCATTCCTCCTTGCCCCCCACCTCCAAATTTTCGCTTAGCAGATTGTCCAGATAAACATCCATAAATAATCATGGATTAAAAAATGTCAAAGGGAAAGGATGGGGCGCTACCCTCAATTGATCAAATTCCTCTTGGAACTCTCGCTACTGTGAAGTTACAAAACAAAGTTTATTTACATATTTCACACTGTCCTGTCACAGTCCTACTTGCTTAAACATGGGATTTAGTTACGCTACCAGATATGTCAGTAGCCGCTTTATCACCAGCACCAGCAATCCAGTGATAGCAATCGCTGGTGTTCTTGTTCTGTGGTTTAATTGTGTAGCGAGTACAATAGATAATGCCCAGGACCACCATCACCACAATGAAGATGCAAAGTGGGACTAGCAATCCGATTAGCAACCAGCTGGTTCCTTGGCTCTGGTTACTGCTGTTGTCATTATCAATAATGACCTCCTCTATTCCTCGTGACTGCATTGGGAACCGGGTGGAAGTTTGTTGCCCTGGACCAAAGGTGGTTGATTCATCATCATACATGTCAGTATTATCATGATCTTGTTCATAAGACTCATATTCTCCAAAAAGGTCAAGAGGGCTTTTTGCAGTTTCCTGTGTCTCAGGCTTTGTTTGGGTTGAGCTGAACCAGAGCCAATTCCAAGCGCCGCCTGAAGCTGTGGAGGAAGGGAGGACTGTGGGAACTGTGGTGCTCTCATCCTCATAATAGTCTGGTGTGGGTGTCAGAATTGCTGGTGGAAAAAAAGCATTATGAACTGGTTGCTCTGGATTAAGGTCAACATTAACATTAATGACCTCAGGGGAGCTTTCAGTCGGTATAGTGGTTTCAGGTTCCTCTTCAGTTGTCGAAATCAGGTCTGTCGGAACTGTCTCCACATTGGGCAGTTCAGTCTGCCAGTTCCAATCAGAATCAGGTGGAGGGTGCCATGGGTATGCAGGATTCTCTGGTTCCCAAATGGGGTTGTGAGTAATCCATGGGTTGGAGACGGTGGTTGAGGGAGTCTCCATGTCCTCCCCGATGGGTCTGCAGGAATATTGGTCAGATTGAAGAGTATAACCTTCTTCACAGTAGCACTCAAAGCCTCCATCATAATTGATGCACATCTGTTCACATGTTCCTTCAATTTGACATTCGTCAATGTCATGACATTGACTCTGGTCCTCTTGTAATGGGGCAAAACCAAGATGGCAGTGGCAAATATGGGAGCCCAATGTGTTCTCACATGCATGCTCACATGGGTTGTCCGAACACTCATCCACATCTTCACAGGCACCCTCTTCATCTTGTCGGTAGCCATCCCGGCATCGACACTCAAAGGTTCCAGGAGCATTTACACAGATATGCTCACAGGGACTCTGTAGGCATTCATCGACATCTATACAGCCCCGTTCATCAGGTGCCAGCATGTAGCCATCAGGACAAGCACAGCGGTAGCCATCCATCACACGCAAGCACTCGAACTCACATGGAGCCCCATTGCAAGGGTCAGACGGAAAGCAACTTACCCCATCCTCAGCCAGGAGATAGCCATCATTGCAATCACAATAGTAGTGCGAGTCATCCTCAACGCAGAAGTGATGGCAACCTCCGTTGTCTTTATCGCACCAGCTTGTCTTAGGCGTATCAGAGCAAAAAGGTGGTTCCCTGTTCCAACCAACAGTTCCATCTTCCTTTTGTGTGCACAGAACTGACTGGTCCTCTTTAGCAGGACAAGGTACAGCTGCTACCGATCCATACGGGATATGTGTTAAGAGGGTACTCAGCAGGTTAAAAGGGGTACTATACAGTGTATTCCCACCTCCCTCGCTAGCAATAGCTGTACACATGCCTTGGAAGTTGTACCTGCACAGGTAGCCGTCCACTGAAATCGAACAAGGTCCATCCTTCCATTTCAGATTATGTCCTTGCTCATGGGCCGCAGTGCTGTAAGGCATCACCACACATCGTGGGGATGAGCAGGTACTGGCCGAGTCCTCTTGTAGCCAGTTGGTGTACTGGGTGTCCTGATCTCCAGTGACCCAAGAGAAGCCACGCAGGGGTCGGGTGGGTGAACATTGTCGGGGTTGTCTCTGAAGGCCAATCCAGATATTTGCCTTGCCTCTGTGGTGTTGTCTCAGTTCCACGTTCGAGAAGAGCTCCTTCACTATTGCTGCTTCCTTTGGATGCCTGATGGTGGCCAGGTTCCCTCCGTATTCCTTGCAGCTCCGCCAAGCCTCCAGAAAGATCTTGCGCTGAAAATGGAGCACAAAGCACCCATCCTCCCTGCAGAGTGCATCCCGTTCTCTCAAGTCCTGAGTCTGCACCCCGCAGAGGCACAGTAGTGAGGGCAGCAGAATAACATAAAGAACTGGACAGCCCATACCTCACACCTACTCTATTTTCTATTGTACTTTCTTTCCCTTTTTTTAGGAGGCTTTCAGGGTGCTAAAATACAGTTTAATGCCCTAGTTGCCCATTCGTCTTCTACTTGTACCTGTATTAAACTTTTCCCTTCTTTCCCTCTCTCTCCACCCTCCTCTCTCTGCCCTGTCCAGTGGTGATCTGTGCCTAAGCTGAGTACTTACAATCTCACCCTTGACGTTCCAGCAAGAGAGAGAGAGAAGGAGAGGGAGGGTTGGAGAGATGGAAGAAGGGTAGGAGTGACTGAAGAAAAGGGGGAGTTGAAAAAAGATGTTTTTGGCACAGGCAGAATCAATGTGTGTGTGTATTTTGGGGGGACTGGGGGGAAGTGCAACAGTCTCGGTTCCTCTTCACCAGAATGTAACGTATGTTTCTCATAAGTGTGTATGGAAATGGTTTGGGACTCTGCCCCTACCACACGACCCCCCGCAACCCTGACTCTCCACCCCCACCAAACTCTGAATGCCGGATAACTTATAACAAACTGTAACGCTTTTTTTTTAACCATGTAAAAAGCTAGAGAAAATTTAAACAAAGGCTGTGTCTGCTGTAACAGTACCACTTACATCTGTCAGCACTTTATATTCCAGCTTTTCTCTGATCTTTCCTCTTTTTTATATTGTTTTTTTTTGGGGGGGCATTTGGTCAGTCCTTGGATCATTTTAGCTGTGGCACTGTGGTTAATGTGTGTTATCATGACATATAAAATTATGTTCTTAAGCAGGTCTGAATCTGGCCATTTTCCAAACTTATCCAAATAAGTATGTTACTTTATTTTATTAATACATTCTATTTGATGAATAAATTACACACAAATTGTTGAGTGGACTAAAAGAGTGATTCCAAGTTGGCAGTGTGTATTTTTTCATAACAGTTTGTTGTAATGAAATATATGCATTCACATGTGCTTCCCAATGTCTAATAAACATTGTTATGTAAATACATATTCTTCAATGAACGACCTTGTTGAATGAAACAAGTATTGTTCATACCCAGTGTTGGGTGTAACTAATTACTAAGTAATTAGTTACTGTAATTTAATTACTTTTCCCTTGAAAGAGTAAAGTAAGGGATTACTTTGATTTTTTCTGTAATTTAATTACAGTTACTTCTTATGTAATTGAACTTAATACTGTGTAGACTGTAGAACATTTATACACAATACAAAAGTGTATTTAACATCAAAATTTAAAGTCTAACCTTAAAATGCATGCTTTTTTATGTACCATTCTCACTTTAAATACTTTAGTGAGTTAATAAGAATACTGGTAACACTTTAGTGTCCAATTCTCACTATCAACTTGTTGGTTATTAGTTGTTGAATATTACTGGGATATTGGCTGTTTAATATTACTTAAAAAGCACATATTAATGTCTTATTCTGCAAGACCTTATTCTAAATCCTTAATCTTACCCAATTCTTAAACTTAACAACTACTTTACTGAGTATTAATAAGCAGTAATTAGGAGTATTTTGAGGCAAAAGTCATAGTTAATAGTTAGTTAATAGTGAGAATTGGACCCTAATCTAAAGTGTGGCCAGAATAAGTTATGTAGTTACTTGAAATAATTAAAATAACTGTTTCATGTCTATCCTTGTATCATTAACTTGTCGAGGTTGATATATGATTTAGAAAGTAATTAGTAATTAACTAGTATTTAATTACTAAATTACTAAATTAAATTACTTAACTAGTAATTAATTAATTAATTAGTAATTAATTAAGTAATTAAGTAATTAAATACTTTCTGGAGAGAGTAATTTGTACAGTAATCTAATTACACTGTTGAAGATGTAATTAGTAACTAGTAATTAATTACTTTTTTTTAGAGTAACTTACCCAACAATACTGTTCATACCTGACGACTGCAGCATAAAAAAAACTCAAATTACCTGAGGTCCGCCAGCTGCCTGTGAAAACACAGCAACATCAACAATCACTGCATACCGGAACAATAATAAATCTAGCTATGCTAGAGGTTAAAGTGTCCACAGCCGTAAGGAACAAAAGCAGGTCTAGTTTTGTTAAGAAAACAGAGGAGGAAAGACTGAGATGGGGTCTCAGTCTGTATATGGTCATAATGGGGATAACGTTCTGTGGGGGGGTTAAACAGGAGCAGCCTGAGGAGGAAATGGCTGGATTTCTCTAAAAGATCATTAAAAAAATCACTCTTGTGAATGAAACACAGATGAAGCACATGTTTAAGACAGCTGATAATATTAGATTACTTCAATGTTGCACTGAAGTAGGGTCAGTTTTTTTTTTTTTTGAGAGAGTATTTTTCTTGTTTTTTATTTTGGTAAAAGAATCATAAAACTTGACACAACCTTAAACCAAGCAATTTGACTCCTGTTGTGGTGATCATTAAAAGCAAGTATCACATCATAACATTTTGGAGTGGTGTCTAAAGGTTAAGTGATCTGTAACTGATTTTTTTTTCAGTCCACATGCACAATGATACACATAAACAATGCCACACTTAATGTCAGTAAACACACATACTTCTAACAATCATAAGAGCTTGGGCAAATCTATTCACACACTACAGATTTTCTGCAAGAACATATCCATCATTTCCATGGAAACACTCAATGTTAAAAATGCAATCCTGGGTCCATATAATAGCACTTGTCTGACAATCTTAGCCAAATGAAACATGAATCAACAGAAACCAGTTCCAAGAAGCTTTTGTTACAAGATTTCAAGGATGTACAGGCCTAGAAAGTCCAGACAATAATAAGAAAATTGTGTTTTTCAAAAATGCATGAAACCAACCTGAAGATTTCTAGGAAAAGGGCACATGTTACACCTTACTTGACTCATGCTCTCTTTTCATCTCACCATCAGTGCTGATGTACCTAACCTTCATCTCACAACTCCATATCCAAGGTACACTGAGGTGAAACAGAGGTCAAATCTGCAGGACAGCGCAGAAGATCCTCAGGGGGTTTTTTTTCCCTTTATTTGCCTTTATTTTTTCCTGGAACCGTCCACCCACCACCTGTAAATCACATTTGCTCTTTTCCACTCTCAAGATCCCTCGTTCTTATTATTGTTCTCAGGTCTCATGCTGCTTCCACTAGAGTACTACAAACTCTAAACACTAATCATTCCATAGTCTTAAAGACAGCATTCCACAAAAACAGAAAGAAACGATTGTGCTGTATGTTAGGATGATCTTACCGATCAACATTTGCAGCTGTGTTTGGAAACAAGGATTTTGGTGCAGGATGAATAGTCTTATGCGGCACTGTTTGACATTTTTTAAATACATAATTCAGTCTTTGACAGCACTTATGGAAAGCCCTCTCTCTGAACCGTGATAAGTCTGAAATCCAATTCAGCTGAAGCGGTCATCCTAAAGATACATTTCTGGGTCAGGAATTACTTCCACATACACAAGCATAGATACACACATGTATGTGGATCACATACATCATGTTCAGACCCTGTGCATAACGTCTGTGTTTAAGTATTACAGTATCTGGAGATTTTTTGATTCAGATGAAAGGCTGACTCGATCACAATACTAGAGAGGAACAACAAATTCACACATACATAAACACTGTCCTCCTTACTAATATCAACTTGTATCTAGATGGGAATTATAACACCTGTATCATTTTTGCTTATGTTTCAAGAAAGCCAAAACATTAGGCTTGCAGTGGGTTCTCATCCAATACAAAATACTTGGAAGAATTATTTCACCAGACAATTTTATTCTGTCCAAAAAGCAGTTTGTGTTTGGGCAGATATCCACAACATTAAACCCAGTTGGCCTACTACTGTTAAAGTCAGCATGAAATAAAAATTCACCCTATCTATTTTCTAAAGGCATGTTACATATCATATTGTAAACAATTAATCTGTGCATATCTTTCATTTTTAAAACCTTTCTATGTTCTTTTCTGACCTCGTTATGTTTTATAAAAATGTATAAAAGCCTGACCTTCTGGTGAAAACAACAGACTTCTCTCTAGTGACATATGCAAAACTTCTCCAACCATTTATGCTGCCTTTATATGCTATTAGAAACTTCCCACTTCTGAAGTTCTTCTGTAATTACAAATTTGTTGCGTTCAAGTGCTTTGTAGAAAGAACAGGACTCATGGAAGACTGCCCATTTGTGATTGCATTCTCTGAGGAAATCTTGTTAAAGCCAAAAGATATTTAGCCAATAATCCAACAGGTTTTGGACAAAATGTAGCCATTCATTGGTAACAATATAAATTTACCGTGCAATCTAAATATTCAGCTTGCTCAAGATTCTGAAAATTCAGTCAAATAAATGCTATTTTCACTGTGTTCAATACATACAATATGCATCAACTGGTTATTTATATACATAAATATACATGACTGTAACAGCAAGAGAAAGCAACGTAGATGTTATGGGGAGAATAAATAAAACTTTACAGTACTACAGCTATGTTTCTCCCCTCCCCCATGTTTCAACATTATGGCCTGCCGAATTTGGAAACTTGGTTATCAAAAATCTTGAGTCTTAAGAGGCCATTCGTATCTATTTTTCAATTAGGAAACTCGTATTTACAATCATTCAGATAGCACATGAAGGCAGCAATAGTCTGCTTAAATCCAACCTTGCAAATTCACTTTTCAAATTCACAAATTCACACCCACTTCTCAAAATCCAATCAACAAACGATACATTGAACCAAGTCCCCACCTTACTTTTTTCATTTGATATAATCTGTTAAACTCAGATGTATGTCGCAATATGGAAGAAAAGATCAGTTTCCACTTCTGTTTCTGTTAAACTGTAAGAATGCCCTTTAATGCATGTCTGGGAAATCAGTCTTTTAAGGCACAAAACAGACTCTGGTGGTCACAGTTAAAAGACCATGAGTCTCTACGAGTCCTAGCTCAACAGAACACACACGAAGAAGCTAAAGCAGAGTGGCTTTGATGCATGATGCTGTTCTAAGTCCACCAACTACAATCTGGCCCTGGTTATGAGAGTGAGGAGAAAGCCTGATTAACACTGGGGTGAGTGAAATGTCAGAGTATTTGTGTACCCTCCCCTACACCCCTCAGGGCCAATGCTCTTACTATCCAGAGCAGGAAAATAGACCCAGATTGAGGCCCAGAAACAACCCCCTCCACTCCACGAGTCTCACTGTGTAACATAATGGGTGTATTGACTCAAGAGTCAAG